TGCTTTGGATGCAGCGTTCAGACAGAAAGCAGCAACTAAACCAGGGGTGGGCAATTCCAGTTCCTGGGGGCCGGTATCCGGAAACTTTTAGATCCATCCTTTGTCCAACACACCTGAATCAAACAGCTGAGTTACCTCCTCAGTATGCAGTCAGTTCCTCCGGAGTCGTCTTAATCACCTAATTATCTGATTCAGGTGTGTTGCACCTAAGGCACATCTAAAAGGTAGAGGATACAGGCCCTCAGGAACTGGAATTGCCCACCCCTGAACTAAACAGAAGCAGGATGTGTGATGCAGAGCACCTTTACTGTGAAAAGATGCTTCCCTCTCTCCACCCCTCCAAACACCAATCAGAACCCGCCTCTCTTCTCCTCCCCACCAGCCCTCCCCCATCGCTTCCCTCAGTCACGACTCACCAAACGCAGCTTTCCCATATTTGCTGGGTTTGCTGCGCTCAGTGTGTGGATGTGTTCTTATAAATGCAACGTCCCAAATATCTAAGATCTTCTTCCTGGGAGACACAACAGCAGGAGTGGATGTTTAGGTTAGAGGGAACCTTATCTCTGAGCTCAGCAGCATGTGGCGTGTTTAGGTGGATGGAGGACGTTGACTGGCTGCTGCAGGGGTGGAGGAAGGAGGAGGAGGTGCAGAGGAGGTGCAGAGGAGGTCACTCAGAGTGTTTCTCTCTCTGCTTCCTGGAGCTCAGACTCCACCCCCCGCCTCTCTAGCTCATCATGCTCTGTTTTCCCTCACAGCAGTGACATTTCGCCTAAATCTTCATTTCACAGCATGTTCCTCTGTTCACTGACACTTCCTCCCCCTGAACGTGTTAACTCATAGTCAGCGACTTGGACTTGAAGCTATTCAGCAACAGAACTGAGGACGGATGAAATATGACCTGGTTTGTTCCTTTTAACACACGGCTCACGAGACGAAGCGCAGAAATGACATCCCCACTCTACTTCAACATGCCATGGACATCTTCTCCACTTAAATCTGCGTGACTAGCCCTGCTTGGACACGTCCCCGAGTCACAGCCTGCTGCAGCGGCTCGTCGTGACAATCCGAGTCTGTTTGGACAAGACAGGTGCCACTGTGAGGAGTCCAAAGACAAAAACAAAAAAACTAAAGCTGCAAAGATCTTTTAAGGTGTTTAGAGATCTGACAGATCAGTTTCAAACCATCTCTATATGCTAAAATAATAAATAAAGAAAGAATTCTTCCCTGTTTTCATAACTTATTTTCAGTGAGACTCCTGAGTCACCTCCAATAAAACAGCAGAACATAAATAAAAGAAAAAGTTGAATTAAAATCATCCTGTTAAGGACCTGATCCATGTCTGGCAAACAGCTCAGCAAGATTTTAAAGAGAAACCATAACTGCTGTTTATAGACGTAACTTTAATAGAGAAGAATGTTTTTGTTATTAATGCAGCAGCTCTGCTTTTCTCTTTCTCTGAGATTTTTAAAGCCTTTCAGTTTTGGTTTCCCTCCCAGAAACAAATGAAGCATTCGCTTCATCTTGTTGAGATCAATCTAACGAGAGATTTTATTAACAGCAAAAGTTTTAAATGTTATATTTCTATAGTCCAGGTAAAGTCATGCAATAAACTCCCGATAATCTGATAATAAATGAGGGGATTGCTGCTGTAGCTACTGCTTCATGCCGGTGACGTTACGTTTTACCTGATCGGAAAAAAACAGAAAAAAATCTGTTTTTGGTGAACAAAGTAACTGTTAGACCCTGATATAAAGGGGCTGTGGTTAGCTGTAGCTAACAGCTTAGCCTCTGTTAGCTCGCTCAGTTAGCCATATTAAGCTACG